CAGCAATTTTTTTTCTTTTTAATGGATGCTACCCTTTTAGTTTCTATAGGATACTCTGCAGTACAGAGTAAGCTAAAAGATACCCTTAACATATAATTAAAATGCATCACAAGACAGGTATATGCTATATGTTTATGCTGGTTTGGAAATAGCATTAAGTTTATAATGCAAATGCTAGGGACCAACATTTTATGGTGTCTTAAGAATAATATCAGGAGTAGGTAATGTAGGTTTTGGAAAGTCATTTAAGTACAGCCACTGCAGTGAAAGTGTTAAACAGCATTTTCCTTCAGTGACTAATTTTCCAATTCTTTTTTTTTTCTGTACAATATAAGATAACCAATGAGAAAATTAAGCCCTGTAAACATTTTAGATTCAGAATGATCATCTTTGTAAAATAAATATCCACATTGGTGTTTATTTATAACATTAAAGAAACCTTTATTAAACAAATGCAAAATCTCTTATGAATTTAACATTTTGTTTAACATGAAATCGTTTATTTATTCAAAAGAAATTGGAAATAGTCATTGGAAAAAATAAAGTTATTCCTCTTCAGCTTTTATTCATTCTCTTTGCTAGGTATCGATTTGGTTCCTAAAGAAGTCTTCATTCAAAGAACCAATAAATTCAGGCTTCTCCAATTTGATTCTTACTGGAGATGTTGTTGCCTGTAAGGAAATAGTCTAGACAATTGAAATAAATAGTAGTCTGTAGAAGGGTGATCAGGTGAATAAGAAAAACATGAATAAAGTTTCCATCTTCAGCTGATTCAATTTTAGTAACTTCAGTTTTGCAGTACACATGTGGGTATTATCATACAGCACCTTTATTCACCAAACTGAATACTGTTTTGAATGCCCTATTTTAAGCTGGTTCAGATAGTAAAGGAAGCTATAATGATGAAACTGTTCCTGTTTCACTCAATGTTCACCATAACCTTCAAAGGATGATAGTGTGGTTTATCAAATAAGTTTGATATTTACAACCACTGGGTAATTTTTGGTTATCAAAATTCATTTTTTTCATTTTCACCATATTTTTCATTATAAGAGATGTAAGAAGAAAAATAAATAAAATCTATAAATCTAATTTTTTGTGCCTTATTCATGAACACATCTATCAGATTTTTTTCTTTACCAATAGCTCTTAAATGGTTCCAGTTGATTCATTAAAATTTGCTGCAAATTTTCTAAAATATTTTGTTAATTTCTCTCCACAGATTACAAATTTCTGTTATTGATTAATGATTTTGATTGATCTCTCTCCAGTTTTCTAAACTGAAATCTCCAAATGCAAATTCTTGAAACAAAAATCTCACTGTTTATTCATCTTTGTCTTATTTGTTTTTGCACTTTTATTGCTCTATGCAACATTATCAAGTGGCTCTCTATCCTTTAAGATCTTCATTTAAACAAGGACTTCATTGTCATTCAAAAGTCATCACCTTCTTTAGTTAGGAAATAACAAATGGTACACAAATTTTGAAAGGACCAAAATTTGGGCTTCCTGGGTATGACAATAAACTATATCTGTGCCTTTGATCGAACAGTTTTGAGGAGTCTGGAACAACCTCTTAATTGCTGTTGTTCCCAGATCAATGCTGACCCAGGGTGGTCAGGGCCCCAGCTATAGACAAATAGTTAACCCCAAAACTGGGATCAAAACACTTAGAAAGTATAAAAATAGATTTTTATAGTAACAATTCAGTAATACATTTTTTTTTAAAAAGATATTACCAGCAATACATTTTTGAAAAAAAAATATATATATTCTATTCATATGAACCTATCCTTAAAATTTTGCAGGCATTAAATAACCCATTGAGGTTGATATGCTGTAAAACAAAATAAACCAAACCAAAATTTGGGTTATTGTTTGTAAGACAAATATAAATTTGCTTGTTGATTTTGGTATTTTATATTTTCTTTTAACTATATAAGCTAATAGAACTTGTCATTGCCTGAGGATCTTTAACTCCTCTATAGAAAATGACATATTTTATAATACCAAATATAATGTATAAAGTTTCATAGGAAAATATTTTTGACTTACAACATGCATACATATTATACTTTTTTTATTTGTTTAATGGTATTAATAAATATTTATACCACCTGTATTATAGAGTATACTAGTCTGGTGCAAGGAACATTTGAAAAGGTTCTGCAAGTATCAAACTCATTATCTGATAGCATCAGCTTGTTAACCATCACCCTATAATAAGTACTGTTCCCTTGCAGTAGGATTAATTTAAAATCTGAGGATCAATTTAAATTAAGATTTTGAAAGCTCAAGATTTTAATTCAAAAGCAAACTGTAACTATGATGTAATAATAATAAGTCTTATTAAGTCTGCTTGTAACATCATACTTATTATAAAATCCAGGTTGTGTGTGTGTGTGTGTGTCTGTACGTTTATATATTGGATCAGATTTCCTACATTTTTCAACCGATTTCAACAAAACTTCACAGGGCTACGTAAAATTACCTTGCGGTGGTTCTGACAGTGCCAAAAATTGGAAAAACACAATTGTTTTTGCACGAAATCAATTTGAAAACACGATTAAGAGGCATCGCGAGAATGAAGGGGGACAACTCATATCAAGTTATACTTATTATAAAACCCAGGTTGTTTGTGTGTGTGTGTTCCTTTATATATGGGATCAGATTTCCTACATTTTTCAACCGATTTCAACAAAACTCCACTTTTTTTTTGGCAGGTAGTGTTTCTTATTGTCTTGCACACTTTTTTTTCTTTATTTTTACATCCAGAATGCTTTAAAAATTCCATTTACAAGACAATTGTTTATAATAAAATTCTATTCAATAGGTAGACTCATAACGGTTGAAAACAATGTTTTTTGTTTGAGTTTGGATTTGACCAATTCGTAAAAAAAAAAAAAACTAATTAAGACATGCGTGTCCGTCAATCTTAAACAATAATCTTTGTCAATTTTATTTTTCAGTCTTTATGATGGTCGATACTTGATCTATCTCTTACTGTTACATCCCCGGACAATGTTGGGCTCTACTGCTAGTTGTGTATGAAATTAATGGCTTTTTATTGAAATATTTTGCATTATATTCAATAGACTTCAATAAAATGCAAAATTTTGTTTATTTGATTTTTATTATTATAGAGTTTAAGCTTCAATGTGATTTTTTACTTATACACTAAATGGTATCAGACGATTAAAGCAATTACATATTGATTAATGTTGAAAATAATCAATCAGATTAGCAGGAGTGGGGGAATCTCATTGTCTATTGTTAAAAAGGGAAATCCCAGAACAGTTAGTGGTGGCTTTAGATTTAGTCTGCACTACCAATGTGCTACTTACTTATCTTGCCTATATTATTGGAATTCCCAAAAGCCATGACCTGTTATTTTTTTTCATTTTTAATTTCATACCAACTGTTGAGAGGATGACTACTTTGCATCTTTACTTCTCACTATCCATGTTATAAGGCATTGAGATGAGCTGAACTTATTCTCAGAATCCTGTAGGTTAATTTGAGAAAATCCTATTTTAGCTGGTGTTCAGTTAATAAAAATAAATAAAATAACTGTTGTGTCAATTTTAACATCTTCAAATTTAACATAATAACTCTAGTTCTATAATAGGGTGCCACATTGTGGTGTAATGGCCAGCATTCTCACCCCATACTTGTGACTTTATGCCAAAAGTAAGCATTGCTTAGCAAATAAATTTAGTTCCAGTATTTTGAATGTTATAACTTAGCATATATATATATATATATATATATATATATAATATATTCATGTGTAATGTAATTGCCTTTTCACAATGCACTACCTAATCATAAACAGGATTTTAGATGTTAGTGTAAAACCATGACTGATATCTTTGGCTACTTATGAGGAGTTGAAGGCAAAGAATTTTGACTCAAAAATGTTACTGCTGCTGAATTTATTTTTAATAAGCAACTTAAGCTTAGTACTAGTCAACAGTACTTAGGTTGTTTCAGAAGTAATTCTTGCTTTGGGCAAGAATTACTTCTGAAATTGCGTAATTTTTTTTTTTAATACTTGGATGTAGTAACTAGAAAATTAGGACTTTTCAATGTAACTGAACTAATAGAATTCTTGAATACTGTATAAAGTAACTTATTTAGTATTCTTTTTGTTTAATTTTACATTTCCTTTCTTTTTGTTTTCTTTTTCCTGATGTCAGTAGTGATTTTGCTTAAGATTTAGTCTAAGTTGCTTATAAACAAATTGCTTATTAAAAAAATTAAGTAATACAAGCAAAATTGTTGAAATATCATGCATATAATGCACATATAATGCATATATAATGCAAACCTCCATTTGAATGTTTGATTCTGATCCAAATTTTGCCACAGCAAACATAAATACTGTTTCCTTAATTTCTTATATACTAACTTTCTTTGCTTTTATTTTTATCAATAAACAAAGTTAATATTTTTCCCTACTGCTCATATATTTCCTAGAAAACTTCAGAAAATTATGAAGAGATGTTCATGACATTCATTCATAAGAAATTAATGTAATTTTGATAGATTTGTTATAAAAGGCACATTTTATTTTCCTTCATATATAAAAAATATGTAAATTTGAATTTTACCTGTATGAAACCATTTGGAGAAAGCTTTCATCTTTGGTTTATTTCAATGTTTTTCTGATATTTGTTATATTTGCTATTTTATGCACAGTGTTTGCAAAAATAATATTTAAAAAAAAATATAAAAAGATGTATATTGAAGTCATTTGAAAACTAGTAATTAAATTTGAAATTAGTGTTTTTTGCATATTAGGAAGTGATTTTACTTGTGGTTATATTTACAATTTTGGTTAATAAAAACGTAATTTCTTTGGTGTGTGTCATTATTATATAAGAAAAATTATATATATATATATATATATATATATATATATATATATATATATATATATATATATTTTTCTTTATCTAAGAAATGAATATAACTTTATTTTATTATTCTTTTTTTAGGTAAGAGCCACCCTTTTCAAGAAGTACCTGCCCACCCTGGTGAGACCATTTCAAATTACTATTGATTTTAAATTTTCTGTTTTTTTTATTTTATTATTATTATTACATAACATTTTAGGTATGAGATTTATAAGGTATCAGGATACATAACATGGTCATGAATAATACAAAGATCATTCTTGGATATTCACTAGATCCCTCCAATATATTTATTGGTAGAAAAATCTTACTGTAGATGGTTTAGTACTTGTAAAATGACAAAAGACATCCTTGTTAAAATACCTATTCATTAGGACTAGCAAAAACTCATTATTTTTCTTATTTTTCACCAGATGGCCAACATAAACCTCACAGTGGAGGTTTTTTCTATAAAACTGCTAATTATTTTTGGCTGTTTATTTATTATTTAATCTTGTTTATTATTTGTGGGCATTACATTTTATGATTATATAAAAAAAAACGTCTCTTTGCTCAATTGCCTTTTAAGATCTTTGGATAAATTTGACATAAGTAATAAAATAAAGTCACCTTGATTATTTTCATAGTAATTCCAAAGCTAATAAAGCTGATGAGGACATAATTAAGTAATGTGGATAAATTTGAAGTGTATGCTTATATAAGCTCACTCATCAAATTAAAAGATATAAAAAAATATTATATTTTTCAGTTGGATGACGTAAGGATAGATGTTTCTAACTCTGGCATATATATTGTGACATATTGTTTTAATATAGGCATATACAGAAAATGAATTCTCCAAACTATTGTTTATTAAAATTTCAGTTTACCTTGAGTGAAAAAAAAAAAAATGTTGTATCCTATTGATGCAAATGTTTCCAGCATTATCTTTTGCTTAGTGCTAAGGCAATCTTAAAAGTATTTCTGAAGTTTTTACTCTTTCTTGCTTGTGTATACATTCTCATTTGTTGAAAAGTAATAATTTTACTTTTGATGAGAATCATGGCTGGCTATAAAATTTCTGACTAATGTTAATGATTGCAGTGTGGATCATATATCAAAATACAATAATTCATATTTTGAACTAATCATAATTACTAACAAGATGATGTTTTCTGTAGTTACATTTTACATGATCACAAAATACAATTTTGTGCAATTTCTGTTGCATGTCTTTATTATTTAAATTTTATAAAGTCATTTTTGCAGTATATTTATATTTTAAATGTGAACTACTATGTTTTTTGGAAACTAGTAATTTCTTTAAATCAGAATTCTTGAGTAACTTGTAACTACTGACTAAGAATATATTTTTTTTTAGTCAGAATAAAATCATACTAATATCTTTTGTTATATCAACACTAAATAGACTTATTTACTTCACATTTCTTGTTATTAACCATGAAATTATCATTAGTCTTCTCTCTCTGCATCTTCATTATTGAATATAATCTGAGATCAGGTAAACTATAATTTTGAATGACTAACATTGTAATATACAAGAGAGCTGCTGAAATGATTTTTGGCTTGAACCATTTCTCAAAATCTCTCCAAATGATCAAGTATCAATTTTTTTTATTTTAGTGGAGTGGGGTGGGCTGTTTCTTGGTCAGGCCAAGAACTTTTCAGAACCCTCATATTAAATGCTTATTAACACATTAGGGGATATGGGAAGAATGCATCAATTGTTTTATTTTATAAGTTTAAAAGAAATACTAAAATAACATTCTTTTTGGTTTCTCTGATATTGCATAAAGAAATAATGGTATGCATCCATACAGCTAATAATGAGTTGGGGCATCTCTCTCTCTCTCTCTCTTAAGGCTTAAATTATAGATCATCTCTAAACCTATGAAAATAGCTGAAAAATATCAGCAATAACAGAATAAAATTCAAAATTTAGAACAGTAAACTGAAAATAAAAGAATTATTTATTAATGTTAATGATAATATTAGCAGTTTTCCCACAAGGAAACATTTGAAATTCATTGATTGAGTAGCCATTACTGCTTTTAGTTGAAATTTCTAAAATCTTTCTCTTAAAATATTTTTTTAGAAAAATAAGTTTCTTAAGTTCAGTAGCTGTTATTGCTCTTTCCAGTATTGATAGGGGTTTCCTTCTTAACCTTTTAAGTAATGTGGAATGTCATTATTTTCTCTTTTAGTTACATGTGCTATCCATTTTAGTTGTTGCTACTATTGATAGTCTTCAAGTGATGTGGTTTCTGTTATTTAGTAGTAGTTTGTGATTCTGTAGCACCAGTTCACAATATTCAAAGAAGGATGGTTTCACAAAGACCCACAGCCCTCATTTGCTAAAAGCTATTTTTAATTGTTGATTATAGGAAGTGGTTGTATACAGCTGACAGTTTAGGTATTTGTGAATGGATTTGGTGCCATACATGACATCCACATGAAAGTCTCAATCTGATGAGGCTAGGAACATAACTTCAGTTTTCAGGTTAATGTTTTGGTTTTGCAGCAATAAAAAGAAGATTGAAAAGAAAAGAGTAATATATTTGTAAGATATTCACACTATTTACATTATTCGGACTATTGTCCTCATCTTTATTGCCATATTTATTACAATGTTTTGGCCGTTGTATGCTCCAGCCTTCTTCAGGTGGTTGGAATGTTGAACTGAACCCTTTATTTCGCTCACTGAGGTAGACTGTTCTAGTTCCACTGTGATAACTGACATTCATTAAACATGGCATGTGGAACTAGAACAGTCTACCCCATTCAGCGAAATAAAGGGTTCAGTTTGACATTCCAACCATCTGAAGAAGGCCAGAGTGTACAATGGCCAAAACATTGTAATAAATATGGTGACAAAGATGAGGACAATAGTTTGAATAATGCAAATAGTGTACATAATACCTCATCTCAGAAATATAGACAGATATTGTATTCTTGAATATTTTAAAATATTCCCCCTCACAATGAAAGTGCACATTTAAATAAATATATATAAAGGAAGGTTTGCTCCCAAAATATGTATATAAAAGAAAGAATTTATTATTGAAAACTGTTATTATGTAGCATTATTAAATAAGTGAAAAAAATAAGATAAAAGATTAGCAAAATTGTACTTGATGTCTCTATATCCTTCTAAACTCTTCTCTCTCTCTTTCTACTACTGAGAAATTTTTACTGTTTGACATATGTCTATAAGCAACCTTGAATTGGTCATCAAGTACTCCTGTGGTCTCCTGTAACTATTCTCTTCTGTTGGTTTCTGTCCTGGGGCATGTGTGACCAGATGTTAGCTGATAGCAATGAGAAATTTGAAAGATTAGCTGTTCTATGAACAGAGATCACATGCAATTCCATACCTTTTATTTTATTTTATTTTTTTTATGTCAAGGTTGTTTCTGTTTTGTGTGCTGAATAGGTGATTTGTGCACATTTACTTTAGCAGAATGGATTCACTGGAAGGGAATTCAATTCTTTCCATTCTGAATGGAGTTTATTCATAATTGTCTGTAACTTTATACTTGAAGTCTGGGGCTAATGTCTGACAACCCTCCAAATCCTACTGATTTAGTTTTGTTTCAAGTTACCTTGTAAAACACAGATCTATTAATGATTCTATTCAAATAGAAATTCTATATGATGTTCAGTGACAAGAAATAAATGCCAACAAAAAACATTTCACTAGGTTGTAATGTAGTTGCTTTCAGCCTGCACTTTCCATTTTTGTCTACAATTATATTTGCAAATATTGTTAATTTCCATTTGTAAAATTTTATTGGTTTATTAAAATATAAATGTGACTCAAACTAAATATGTCTTTCAATTATTTAAAAAAGATGGATGATATAATTAGTAGAAAATGTAATAGGTATGAATGATTTGGATTCTTTTTTTTTTTTTTTTTAAATATTTCTTTTTTAGTATCATTTTTAATATTAGACAACATATACAGTGAAATTCATTTATTTGGTTGAATATACCAACATATTGTTATCCATTATAAAATGCCAAGAAAAAAAAAATTCAATCAATGATTTAAACCAACAAAAACTATATAGTTAATTTCAAGTAGAAGTTGCAGAAGTTAGAATGCTATCATTTCTCATTCTAGTATGGCATCTTATGTGTGAAATAATTGAGATCCTAGTCTGTCAGCAGTATATTTTGCTTATTGCTGTCAAAAGTTAATTTGTGGAATTGGTCATTAAAACATTCTAATGCACTTATATATTAATGAGAATACATATGTAATTGATTTTTCATTTGGCACTCTTTTTTCATCTCTCACTTTACATATGTATCCTTGATGTTTGATTTGTCAGAATTTCTTTTAGATTTATAGCTAATATCACTTGATCTCTCATACCAGTAAGTAGTTTAAAATTAAATAAAAAGAAATTTCTCTGATTGGCAAAAATCTTTTTCATTTCTTATTCCAACATTCAACTTTCAGTCTACTTTGATCAATCATTACAATGATTTTATCACACCAGTGTCTCATTATTATTTATTTTTTTTAAATTATGTTTTTCTAGTTCCATGATGTTCAGTATTTCAATTCATATGTTTTCTTCATCAAGTTTTTCATGCATTGTATTTAAAAAATATGTGCCACTTAACAATTTTAAGAAAATTGCTACAAAACTTATGAATTCTTTTAAAAATACAACTGCAAAATATTCCATGATTCAAATATAAGATCAAAAGAACTGATACACTTTTTCATTTTGTGGAACTAGTTAACAGTATTAAACTGAATAACAGATTTTAGTTTGCTGATTATAGTGAGGCATTTGCCAATAGAAGAATCATTTTGTTAAAAAACAACTCTTAGAAATAAGTTTCTTAGATGTATTGTTTCTGCCAAAAGCAATAACTAAGAATTCAGTTTAAGTATAAACATCTTGTACTTACAATACTTAAACCATACTTTTACCATATTTATTACTTCAGGACATTTATATGTAGATTATTGATAATGTCTCTTTAATTATATAGTAATTACAAAGAAGCCAAAACAGAATGGCAGAGATCATTTTGGATGTCCTGATTAAAAATCATAAAAATCATTTGCTTGATTCTATCAGTCATTATCTATATTTTAT